ATGTCCCTGGAGAATTTCCCAAACACCGGCTCCCGCAGCAGAACCCTCAGGCGGAAGGCCAAGCGTCCTGCTGGGGAGTGGACCAGCCCCCGGGCAGTGCTGGGGAAGGTCCAGCCCCAGCCAGGGTCTTCAGGGCCCATTGAAACTAGGACAACTTTTAAAATAAGAAAAACAGAAGAACCTAAACTGGAATCAATTGTTCTCTTTCTACAGTCTGGGAAATGTGGGTTGATGCTAGACTCCAGGCAGCTAGCCAGGCTCACCCTGACAGTGTAGCAAGTCCACGTGCCGCACAGCCCTGTGGGAAAGCAGCGTGGCCGTCACCTGGCTGCCCGCAGTGGGGAGGCAGCGGGCGTCCTGCAGAACCAGAACAAAGCCAGCAGTGCGCACTGACTGGGAGAAGCCCACCTTGCTGAGTGCTCTGGACGTAATCGTGTGTATACCTATAGCCTTCCGTGTCCTAAAAATGGCTTAAGATGACTTCCAATAATAGGTACAATGTAACACAATGAATAAATTAAAATGTGCAGATGAAGAAACCAAAGGGAGGGACAAAGAAGGGAAGGCTGTGCCCAGGGCCCAGGGTACACGGGGGCTTTGTAGCCGCACAGGGCCCAGCGGGTCAGATAGCGTGGACTCCCCTGGGCCTCTTCCTGGAAATACCGTTCAACTCATCCCCCAATTGGAATAGAGAGTAGTCACATGGCAGGACTTGTCACAGAGATGTGTGGTGTGATCAGCTGATGGTCAGGTTCAGGCCAGAACAGGCCAGATACTGGAGCAGTGGTTTTCCAGTGCTGTTGGCCATATAGCATCATGGTGAAATCCATGGCCTAGTCAGATGAAAGCAGAGTGTCTGACTGTTCTCCCGCTGGGGGTTTCCTCTCTCCTTGGGCCACCACTCTCAGCACCGCCAACTGAGACCCTTCCTCCCCTCCTCTCAGGGACTGCACAGCATGGTGTGAAATCCAGGCAGAAGAATGACCATTTCTTTTTTTATTTTTTTAAATTGATTTCAAAGAGGAAGGGAGAGGGAGAGAGATAGACACGTCCATGATGAGAGAGAATCATCGATCCGCTGCCTCCTGCAAGTACCCCTCTGGGGATCAAACCCACAACCCGGGCATATGTCCTTGACCGGAATCAAACCTGGGACCTTTCAGTTTGCAGGACAACGCTCTATCCACTAAGCCAAATCGGCTAGGGCAAGAATGGCAATTTCTAAGGGGTTTACACAGACTATGAAGTGGTGCTGGTGGTGAGGAGAGGGGAGAGCAGTTTCCATCAGCCAGAGGAGCAAGTTTGAGAAGCAATAGAATAGCCAAGAATCACAGATCTTGGCAGTGGGATTTATGATAGCTTGCAATAGAGCAATGTCATTGCAACTCTACAGGGTGTGGAGAAGTACTCTATGCCACATTCCGAAGCCATACTGGACAGGGGACATGTTAGCGGGTAAGGCCAGACTGGGTTTCACAAACAAGGGCATGTTGGGAAGCTATTTCCTTCTTCAGAAGCTATTTCTTCTTCAGAATTGCATCTCTGTCCCCTGAGCAGACTTTCATAAATACATCTCTCAGCTCCTCTCTGTACCACACCAGCAGGCTGACCCAGAAAGCAGCAGCTGCTGAGGCTACCATCTATACGACCCCAGTTGCTCTCATGCTCACAAACACACCCTTCTTTGAACACTGGGTCTTGCACCCACTAAGCTAAATACAAGCTCAGGCAATGAGACAGCAAACACTTGAACAAGGCTGCCTCTATGCCAGGCCCTGCCTGTGTGCATCAGGGGTAGAAACTCCTGTTTCTCACAACAGCCATTAGGGTAGAAATTGGTAGAGTTGGACTTCACATATAGGCTGACTCCTCACAGTAGGCACCAATAGTGTGAACAAGTCATCAAGTTCCTCTACCCAAAGTGTTAGTGTGCAAGGCATTTAATAGCCACAGCAAAGACTAAGCATACAACAATGGCAGCTCCAAGGTAGTTTTTAAAGTTATCTACTCGTGAGAGATCAGTAATCCATGAGTGGTGCTGTTGCAAACACTACAGTCTGTACTCAGACAGAGCATAAAACTACACTGAACTGACAAAAGGACACTTGGTTTAGCTGTCAGAACCTTCAAAATACATATATCCAAAACTTGAAAAAATGGAACAGATAAATAGAGATTGGTTATTTGTTTATAAAAGTACTAGAGGACTGATGCACAAAATCACAAAATTCATGCACTTGGGGGAAGGGAGTCCCTCAACCCAGCCTGCGCCCTCTCATAATCTGAGAGCCCTCAGGGGATGTCTGACTGATTGCTTGAATCCGCTCCTTTGCACTGCTGCCACTGTGCTTACCAGCTGTGAGCCGACTCAGAGCTTCTGGCTGAGCAGCACTCCCTTTGTGGGAGTGCACTGACCACCAGGGGCAGCTCCTGCTTTGAGCATCTGCCCCCTGGTGGTCAGTGCACATCATAGCGGCCAGTTGTTCCACTGTTCAGTCAATTTGCATATTAGCTTTTTATTATATAGGATTTTTTTATGAAAGATATAGCTAAAAATTTTGGAAACAGGTTTTCCTAGAATCTATACAATATAATTTAATTACAACATTATATTTCCCTATAACCTTTGAAGAATGCCTTTATTATATAGAGTTAACCACAGTGATAGAATTTAATCCTAGGCATGTTAACACTCTGTTACCTCAGAGGCCTTAAAAGCTCCACCATGTACCACATCTAGAAAATATTGCTGGGTATTTTTCTCCTGTATGCAAAGGCTTCTTTCTGACATTGATCTGTCATATTGTTTCCTATGAATGGTCTCCAGCTATTAACTAAGGTCATGTGATAAAAATTAGGTAAGAGCCCTGGCCAGTTTTGCTAAGGGGTTAGAGCACATGTGTCAAACACAAGGCCCGCGGGCCAAATCCGTCCCGCCAGGCCTTGCAATGTGGCCCACACCGCGCTGTCATCACTGCACTCCGCTGCGTTTCCATCACAATGACAGTTTATGACTGTTCAGTAAACCATTCGGCCCGCAATTTAGGCTGGATTTTAGATTTTGGCCCCTTCTCTGATTGAGTTCGACACCCCTAGGTTAGAGTGTCATCTCATGGCCCAAAAGGTTTTGCAGTGAAGGGCACATGCCTCCATTGCAGGCTCAATCCCAGCCCCCAGTTGGGGTGTGAGCAGGAGGCAACTAATCAATGTGTCTCTCTCACATTAATGTTTCTCTCTCTCCTGCCCCACACTTCTCTCCCCTCCACTCTCTAAAACAATCAATGGGGGGGAAAAAAAAAAGATACTCTTCACAAAGTCTAAGAAACACAAAGCAATTCTTGTACAACCAGATTTCAACACCAACTTTCATGTGTTGGCACTCTACTCAGCCCATTACACAGCTGTATCTTTATTAAAATGTAAACAAAATGGGACTAGAGGTCTGTTCCATGGCTTTCTTCTACAATACTATTTTCACCTCAACCCATTTGGGTTCTACCTCAAAGAGTGCTAAGACCCTCACCAAGGAAAGCACTGGGATTGTTCACCTGATCCCTACCCATACCTCTCCCAAGGAGCAGGCTGTGGCCGTGCCCCTCACAGGCCCCTCAGCCATTTGCATATGCATCTTTCCCCCAAAACTGGAAGGTACAGCAAAGCAGGACAGCCCACATTGGCCACCACACTGCACATACACAGCAGTAAATGCTCAATGAATGTATCAGGAAAATTTAAATGACATGAGTCATCTCAGAAGTAGTGGTATCTATAAAGGGAATTCGTTGAAAATTCTCTTTTAAAATAACTGCCACCACACAGGAGAAGGTGAACAGTGTCATGGGTTCCAGTATTACCACAGGCACGTGGCCAAGTAATCTGTCCACAGATGCTGCACAGCACATGCCTTGTCATGGGTAGAATGATTGACTAAGTAAATGTTCAAACTTTTCTATTAAATGCTCTCACTTCAAAATACCACTCTTTGGCCTTGGCAATTTTCAGACTATTTTCTACAAATCTGTGGAGATGGAATTTTCATTTCAGTGTAAATTATGAATGTTGGTGTATTCCCACTATGTATGTGTATCCTGAGTAGCTTTAGAGAAAAGACAAATCTTTTGAACATGAATTTCCTCATTGAGGAAGAAGAGGTATCTTGTGGTGCTTAAAACACAGAACCGAGGTGTTCACATTTAACAGCTAATTACTACAAATAATTGCTTTCTGAATCTCAATCTTTAGACTTCGCTAACCCAAAGATATACACACAGTGATTTAAATGGAATAAATATGAGTTGTTTTCTGATATCACAATTTAGATTAAATATAAATATTTCACAACTGCCAAAGCAATCCAAACAGCTTTTTAACAGCCTCATTCCTAGGTTTCCAGTTGTCCTGTTCAAGATTACTGGAATTGGCATTTTTCTAAATGAATAAACTGTATTAGGCTACAGATTTTATAAAAACAATGCTTAAACACAGAAGTGGCCCTCAGGAAGTTTCCAATCTAGTTGATGATGGAAAATAGTATGTAAACCTGTCCCAAGTCACTGACAATTGAGAGAACTGCTCTTTAAATTACTACGCCCATTAATATTACTATTTCCAATTTTGTGCATTTTGTTTTCTGTGTATATTGTTGGAAATTCTCTCCTGACATCTTGATTTTCTTTTTAAAGAAAATCAGCACATAAAATATCAATCTGGTATTAGAGTTTTAGTTATTAAAGAAACAAATATAAAGACTTAATTTGTATGAAGCTTAATTATAAAAAGCACTTGGAAGTGGGTATGACTTTCAGGGAGCCAGGTCAAGAGACACATGCCACAAATATGGATAAATATTTAGAAGTCTTGAAACACAGGGGTCCTGACTCTTCCCTGTCACCAGCACTCAAGGGACAACATTTCCCTTTGGACATTTCTAGGCTGCTACTCTCTGAAAACATTCCTTTCCTAAGTAAAAATCACAGGGGTCCGTTTTCAAAAGGGCTTACCTGGTAATTTGTGTTCTTGTACTGAAGTCAAGAGACCTCATTGAGCGTAGAACTTCAATGCACCCCAAGTACTGCAAGGGGAAAAAATGTAAATCATGAGCCCTGGGCGCTGAGAGGAAGAGACACCCCCTAATAACATCAAGGGCATTTCTGGGAGCCACATACATTTCTTTGTCACATTGAACTTCATATTCGTGGTGATACTTTATCCTGCTTCTATAATTGTGACAACTCATAAGAAAATATCCTGAGTGCTTAGATTGGTACTACACTCAACTTTCTGAAACCTGTAATATTTTCACGTTACTAGTATTTGGAAATACATTTTTTAAACTCTTGTTCAGGTGCAACTTATATGCCATAAAATGTGGAAATCTTAAACAGATAATTCACTGATTTTTTAAACACATATCTCCCCTGTAATCACCACCCAAATGCCAACATCTCATATTTATAGTCCTTTACAAGGCTTGTAGAAGTTTATAATTTCTAAAGAAAGAACAAGAAAACTAAAAATGTTGCCAATATTAAATTTAATTGTTTAAAATATGTATGAATATTCTATGAATAAACTAGATTGTCGTCAAATATGCTTCATTTTGATTTACCAGAAAGCTCTTTTCTGCATTATTTGACATAAATTTTCAGGAGGTCAATTTTCACATCTACATTTCTAGTTAATATTTTTATGTTTCACACATGAAAATGTGTGTGTGTGTGTGTGTGTGTGTGTGCGCGCGCGCGCGCACGCGCGTTCACATGCACGCATATATGCGTGCATATGTGTATATGAATATATGGACACAACTAAGGCTATAGATAAACAACTAGAATGGAAGAGATATAATATTTAGGTTCCAAAGTCCATGGAGAGTTTGAAGGTACAGATGTCTTGTATCAACGCTTTAAAATTTAGACTCAGCAAGAAAAGAATTTATGGTGTAATACAGAAAAGGCTGCATTTGAATTATTCAGAAAACCTGAATTTGAGTCTGGGTCTGTAATACCTTATTATGTAACTTTAAGCAAGAATTCTCTAAACCTAAGTCTCTGACCATAAAATGTGGTTTTTATTCCAACCATTGCATAGGCACATGAAACTTCTACCATCACGTCACAGTTATTTAAAGACCATCACCACCATCACATTTTTGCAGACACCATGACCGACATCTGAGATATCTGAGTTAGAAGACCAGCAATACTGCAGATTTGTATAACAGTGACGAGGACCATTGTCACAGGGCTATGTGACTACCACTACCACCAAAGTCACAGGCATGTAAATACCACTTCCACATATAGAACTATAAGAATACCATGAACAACATGGCAGAGTTACATAAGTAGCGTGATGTTATCACAAGTCATCTGAAAACTGTGAGCAATAGTGTAGGTTATGTGAACATCACAAGTGCTGTTATAGAGTTATGTGGATACCACTATCATTAAGATATATGAAGGTCATGACCCACTTTGCAGTTATGAGATGGCCACACCCAACACTGCCACAGCATCCCATAGTTATGTGAATACCACCACCAGCACTGTTACAAAGTGAAGTAATTGATGACCAAAGGAGTATAGTTGTGTCATAGCTACATTACTACCTCTCAAAGATATGTGAATACTATCATCACCATCTTTGGAGAGTTATGTAAATTTCCCACCCAAAGTTGCAAACCTAGGGGAATACTCCATGATCACCATCGCAAATGTTTGAATGTGACAACAACAACTTCAGATTATCGGAATACTGTGACTACCATCAAAGAGCTACTGAAAACTATGACCCAGGTTGCAGAATTATCTAATATCACCACCACAGGATAATGGGAATGCAGTGACAATATCACACTTATGCAATTACTACTAGCAACAATGATACAGTGGTGCGTCGCATAAAGAACGCCTCGCACAGCGAACGCTGCACACAAAGAACTTCATTTCATGATTCATACAACGAACTTCGTTTCACACAACGAAGTCGCCCGAGCTTCCACGACCGCTTTGCCCGAGCTTCCACGATCGCTGCCGATGTATTGCATCCTTCCGCGCAGGCACTGCAGGCAGTCGTTAGTCACTGCGCTTAACGTAAGCACGTATCGCGGCAATCGTTCTTCATTACGAATTAAATCACGCACGTATCACGGCAGTCATCCTTTTAAGTTAAACTCAATATTTTTTTTATATCATGGCTTCTAAAAAAAGCAGGAAGGTGATTTCTGTTGAAATGAAACAGGACAATGCTCAAAGGGAAGCGTCATCTGATAACGAGGAGCAACAATCAAACAATCAACCAATCCCAACTGCTGACATCAAGAACATCCTGGTCAAATGGAAAGCAGTTCAGGAGTTTACCAATGCCCACTATCCGGATTCAGCTGAAGCAAACAGGATCAACGATCTTTACTCCGATACTCTTGTCCGTTATTTCCGGCAGATGTTGGAGAAAAGAGAAAAACAAACGACTTTGGACAGGTTTTTCATGAAACCATCGGCCAAAAAGCAGAAAATGGATGAAGATGTGCAAGATTCGGTAGACTCTACTTAGTCTGTCCTAAAATTAAAAAAATGTGTGTTTTTTTTAAAAAAAAAATTATGTTTTTAGATGTATCTAAATAAAAATAATAACAAAAAATTTATCTTTTTTATGTCATCTTAGCATATTTTATGCTACAGAACGAATTATTTTTTTTAACATGTACAGTATTGTTATGGGAAAACGCGTTTCACATAACGAACTTTTCGCATAACAAACTTGCTCCTGGAACGAATTAAGTTCGTTGTGTGAGGCACCACTGTATTTGAGTACCCTGACCACCAACACCACAGAGTTATATTAATACCACCATGTTCATCACAAAATTATCTGAATGCTACCTATAGCTTTATAGTTTTGTGACTACCATGACCAAAATTGCAGAGCTATGTAACACCAAATCTACCAACATCACAGAGTTCCGTGAAAACCACAATGATCAAAACAGTCACATGAATAACATAAATAGCATTGCCTTGTTTTATGTGTCCCAAAGTCACCATTGCAGAATTATGTAAATATAAGCACCATGACCATCATAGAATTATGTGATGCCACCACACCCACCATCTCAGAGTCATTTGAATACACCACCTATACCATATCACATGTATGAGAGTATGATCAGTGCATATTGAAGAGGCACATGAATACCAACAACAACATTACAGAGTTATGTGACCAAAATCAATAACCTCAAAGTTGTAAGCACTACACTCACCCTTGCATTGCTATATGGAGACACACCAGTACTGCTGAGTTATGTGAATACACTACCACAATCACTGAGTTATGTGAAGATCGTGACAAACTGCAGTTACAGGATTAGTACCACCCAACACCATCAATTATGCGAAGACCAGCAGTTGAATACCACAACTGTCCTGGCAGATCTAGGAGAATATCACCACCGATGTCACAAAGATATGCTGGCACTATGATTGCCATCATAGTCATGCAAATACCTCCACCTCCATTGCAGAGTTTTGTGAATACTGTAACCCCCATCAAGGTAAACTTATGTGACATCCTGACCAAAGTTACAGATTTAGGTGAACATGTTAACACCAATGCCACCACCATCATAGAACTGTGTAAATGCAAGCATACCTCATTTTATTGTGCTATGCTTTAATTGTTTTCATCAACACTGAGTCAAGACTCTCTGCCAGCAAAAATATTAAAATTCACTGAAGTTGCCGAAACTGGTTTCGCTCAGTGGATAGAACGTCAGCCTGCGGACTGAAAGGTCCCCAGTTTGATCCGGTCAAGGGCACATACCTTGGTTGCAGGCACATCCCCAGTAGGGAATGTGCAGGAGGCAGCTGATTGATGTTTCTCTCTCATCAATGTTTCTGGCTCTCTAGCTCTCTATCTCTCTCCCTTCCTCTCTGTAAGAAATCAATAAAAACTATATTTTAAAAAATTCGCTACAGTCTTGGATGATGGCAAGTATTTTTAGCAATAAAGTTTTTTTTATTAAGGTATATACCTTGTGCTTTTAGACATAATGCTATTGCACAATTATTAGACTACGGTATAGTATAAACATAACCTTTATATACATTGGGAAATAAAAAAAATTCATGTGAGTCGCTTTACTGCAGTATTTGCTTGATTGTGGTGATCTGGGCCGAACTTGTTATATCTCTGATAGATAGCCAAAGGCCTGGTTATGAAAACACTCCCACCAGAATGACCACTGAGTTATGTAACTACTACAACCAACACCACGTGGGTATGCAAATACCACAACCAATATCATATCACTGTTTCAATACCATCACCACCACACTATCGCATTATCTGAAAAACATCACCACCACACCACTGCAGCGATGTGAAGACCATCACCACCACAACAGAGTTATGTGAAGGCCACCTGCGCCCACTTCACAGAATAACAAATGTCATCCCAACACTGCAGAGCTGGATGAACCTCAATCATTGCGGCCATGTGAATGCCATCATCACCAACTTTGCAGACTTAGTTGGCTAACACAGCCAACCTGGCAGAGCTATCTGGTTATGACCATCCTCAAAGTCACAGATGCGAGAGAGACATCCATTGGTGCCTCCTGCACGTGCCCTGACCAGAACCCAGCCAGAGAGGAGCCTGGAACCAAGGTCCATGCCCTTGGCCGGAATTGAACCCGGGACCCTTTGGTCCTCAGTCTGCGCTCTCTCCACTGAGCCAAACCGGCTAGGGCTGCAGCCACTTTTTAAATAATTTAAGTTTAGAGGCTCCAAAAATACTTCTACTCCCTCTACATTTTATTGTTAAAGCAAGTCACAGTGTCAGTTCAAACTGACCACCCAACAGTGTGAGTGTGAGGCTGCCAGGTCACCAGGTCCACCACTGGCTGAGAGACGAAGCTGCAGGTGTTGTTAGGATGAGCAGCGAGAGGAGGCGTGGTGGGGAAGGAGTGTCATCTCTGAATACCCTCAATTGTCTAAACAGTTATAACAAGAATGTGTTCCTTTTACATATACAACTACAAAATAAATTTTAAATAAAATATTTTCTAC